TACATACATACATACTAGTTCAATTCCCCAGTTAAGCAGACTCCAGTGTGATTTTTGTGGTTTCCTTGCAGTTCTGTTTCCGGTGCAATCAAAATATGAAAGAAGGTGACCCAGCTGTGTATGCTGAGCGGGCTGGATATGACAAACTCTGGCATCCAGCTTGCTTTGTCTGCTGCACCTGCAGTGAACTCCTGGTAGATATGATCTATTTCTGGAAAAATGGAAAACTCTATTGTGGCCGACACTACTGTGACAGTGAAAAACCTCGCTGTGCTGGATGTGATGAGGTGAGCAAGAGTCTTCCGGGTTATTCTTTAGTGCCTATTTTAAAATTTCCATTCAGCTTAACTGAAAAGCCTTAGTCTTCCAGTACCTTCTCTGTACTTTATATTATTTTATGCATCTCAATCAGATTCAGTCAGCCCAAAAGAATCCCAAATCCATTTCTCATAGGAAGGTGTTAAAACCCCAATAGTGTTGATAATCCTCTTCTACATTTTTGCCATTTCTATTATGCCCTCTTTTAAAAATGTGAGGACCAGAAGTTGCGTGATATTTCAGATGCAAATATGTAATTTACTTTATTGTCATTGCAACATTCTCATTTTTATTTTTGCCTGCTTTTCCAAAAGATCTTAGTATGGAATTATATTTTCCCCACATTGCTGTATTCTGACATTTTTCTTGAAATATCCCAAAAATATTTTTTCCTATTGGTTCTGAGTATGAAGTTATGGTTTTTGTTCCAATGTGCATTCCTTTGTGCTTACTTAAACTGAACCAATGGATAATTTGTCAACATGCCTTTTATAATCTAATGGTTTAAACCAATTTTATATAAGTTAACTATGAATTCTTATCATCTTACCCAAAATAAAAGTAAACAGTTTTCCAAGACTGTTTACTTAGACGTATTAGGCTTTATAGATAAATTCCACAACAATGATACATTCATTATGAACAGTGGCCTTAAAGTGCCCCTGTATTTCTTTTCTGAGCTTATCTCAATATAATACTATTTTTAATTGAGAACTATTCAAAATTGTAGTCAATCAGAAAATTCTTAAATAAATTTTGTCTTAGTTATAACACTTAGTAACTTCAAAATGGTGTGTGTTTCTCTCTTACTTCTGTTACATACTGTTTGGCCATGTAGATGGTAAGGCTCATAAATTCATTATCCTAGCATACCAGTTCAATGAGAATTAAATTCTGTAAAATCAATTCAATGCATCAGTTGCACATGACAATTCAATTGCCATATAACAATTCCTAGAAACCTTTAGCATTAACCAGAGTTATACCATACTTTTGTACAGCTCTATAAAAATAATTTGTTGTTAACTGAAATTGAAATGAGGAGGGGGACTGCTCTTCATTTTCACTGTTTTTAAAAAGGGACCCTAGAAAGTTTTATTTAAAAATCCTATCTATTAAATAGAACAAACTAATACCACACCAAGGCATGCAGGAAGCATGTCTTAGTTCATGTGCTGTGGTGGAAGAAAACAATTGTGCAACTAGATTAATATGAACCTGTTAACTTTGTCTTTCCTGTAGCTTATTTTCAACAATGAGTACACACAAGCTGAAGGTCAAAACTGGCATCTGAAGCATTTCTGCTGCTTTGATTGCGACTGTGTCTTGGCTGGAGAAATCTACGTCATGGTTAATGAAAAGCCCATCTGCAAACCCTGTTATGTGAAGAAGCATGCTGTGGTAAGAAAGTCTAGCTTTGCCTGGAATATACAACTACTGTGTAAAGTTCCATACTTAAGTGGACTTTTACAAACCTTGTTCCATGAGTAGTTCCTTGAAAGACCATTCTCCAGGAGAAAAACAAGAGACAATACAATCTTTCACATTGTAAATCTTTATGGCACACTGTAAGTAAGATAATACAAGGATACAGTATGTAACAACTACTAGCTGACTCCCAATCTTCCTTTTTAGATTTTTGAGAAAGTGATGTTGCTTGTAAAAATTATCAGGGCCCTTTTCATTCCGGGCTCCCATACTCACCTTTATCCTCTGAATTTGAAGTGTAGCTGCTTTGCGCGGCACAGCAAAGTGTCGTGTGGCAGCTGCTGAAGCGACCAGGAAAGTGCAGCCTTGCAGGAGATGAGTTGGAATGCCTCCGTGCCTGCGCAAATGCCTCTGCACCTGCCAAAGTGCATGTTTGGCGTGCGCATACACACAAAGTGTGTGCATGCGGGCAAAGCGCACCCACCGAAGTGGTGGTAAAAGTTTTTGAATCCCACCACTGGATAGGAGCCAGTATTCTAGTCTGTCAAGATCCATCTGGATCTTGAGCCTGTTATCTAGGGTGGCTCATCTAGGATGATACGAAACTGGCTATTCCTGCCAGTTTCGTATCATCCACAAATTTGTTAAGTACTTCATGTGATTTTAATTCTATGCCTCTGTTTATAGAACCAAGAATTGTATTAGCTTTTTTGGCTGCTGCCATACACTGCTGGCTCATATTTAAGAGGTTGTCCACTAGGACTCCAAGATCCCTCTCGCAGTTACTGTTTTTGAGCCAAGTTTCGCCTATTCTTTACTTGTGTCTTTGGATTTTCCTGCCCAGATATAAAAAACTTGTTTTGCTCCATTCAATTTCATGTTGTTAGATAGGGCCTATCGCTCAAGTCTGTCAAGATATTTTTTGACCCTGAGCTTGTCTTCTGGGGTGTTGGCTATTTCTGCCAGCTTAGTGTCATTTGCAAATTTGATGAATTCCCTTTCTATTCCCTCATCTAAGTCATTTATGAAGATATTGAAGAGTTCTGTGTTTAGGACAGAACCTTGTGGTACCCCACTGCTTACTTCCCTCCATGTAGATCTTAAGGACTACTCATTTGTCTGCCAGTTACAAATTCATCTGATGGTGATGCTATCTATTCCACTTTTTTCTAGTTTACCAAGGAATAGGTTGTGGTCAACTTTGTCGAATGCCTTTCTGAAGTCTAAGTATACTAGGTCCACAGCATTTCACTGGTCTACTAATTTAGTCACTATGTTGAAGAATGAAATTAGATTGGTTTGGCATGATCTGTTTTTAACAAACCCATGTTGACTGCTAGTTATTACTTTACTTGTTTCTAGATGTTGGCAGATCTGTTTTTTTATTATCTTTTCCAGTATCTTCCCAGGCACTGATGTTAGGCTGATTGGTCTATAGTTTCCTGGGTCTGGTTTTTTTCCCTTTTTTGAAGATGGGAATCACATCAGCTCTTTTCCAGTCCTCTGGTAGTTCCCCGGTGCTCCAGGATTTTTGGAAGAGATGGTACAGTGTTTCTGAGATGACATCTGCCATCTCTTTTAGAACTCTGGAATATAATCCATCAGGTCCTGGTGATTTGTATTCATCAAGATCAGACAGGTGTTCTCTTACCAGTTTTTTGCTTATTTTAACTTGAGTTTCTAGTCTGTCTTTTACAGTTGTTTTTGGTAGGTTGGACTATAGTTTCTTTTTGAATGAGTTAAGCAGCTCTACTTTGCTACCTGTTACTTCTTTGCCGTCTTCTCTCTTTAGTGGACCGACTGTTTCCTTGATTTTTTTTCTTGTAATTTATATGTTGGAAGAAACTTTTTAAATTATCTTTTACTTTTGTTGCAAGTCTTTGTTCATTCTGAGCCTTTGCTTTCCTGACTTTGTCTTTGCAGATTCTGGCTATCTGCTGATATTCTGTCTTAGTTGTATGTCCTTCTTTCCATTTTTTTTGTACTTATTCTTTTTGTCTTTCAGTTTATCAGAGATTTGTGCAGCCATGCCAGTTGCTTCTTGGATTTCTTGAATTTCTTTTTCAGCAGTATTGTGCTGGACTGGGCTTTTATGATCATATTTTTCAGAGTTTCCCAAGCTTCTTGAGTTGTTTTCCCCTTAAGGATTTTCATTCAAGGAATGTTTCCCAAGTTCTCTCTGAGGTTTTTAAAATCAGTTCTTTTAAAGTCTAGGACTCTGGTATCATTGTGTTCTATTGCTTATGTTTGCATTATGTTGAATTCTAGTATGACATGGTCATTTTCACCCAAGGTTCCTGCAATATCAACTCCCTCTATCAATTCTTCTCTGTTGGTAAGAATTAAGTCCAGGCTGTCCCTCTAGTTCCCTCCTCTACCTTTTGGACAACGAAGTTGTCAGCTAGGTTGGTTAGGAACCTCTTTGATTTCTCACTTGGTGCAGAATTAATCTTCCACTTGATGTCAGGGTAATTGAAGTCCTCCATTACTATTGTAGTGTGTTTCCTATATATATTTGTTAGATCTTAGCAAAAGGGACATCTATCTTTTCTGCTTGATTGGGTGACCTATAGTATACACCAATGGCCATGTCATTCTTTTTTGCTTTTATATTGATCAATATGCATTATCGCTGGTTTTCGTCTTTGGTTTCATGCATTTCTGTAGCAATATAGTGTCCTTTACATACAGTGAAACTCCTCCTCCTCTTTTATGGGGGTCTGGGGATTTTTTGAACAGTTTGTCAGTATTCTATCAGTATATTCCAGTCATGGGTTTCATCCCACCAAGTTTCTGTAATTCCAACTATATCATATCTACCTTCCTGTGTTAATAGTTTAAGTTTTGTTTGTTTGTTCCCCAGACTTTGTGCATCTGTATGTAGGCACTTGAGATCTTTAAGTCTGGGTGTTCGAGTTTGTCTTCCTTCCCATCCCTCCTTACTTCATTATTTGACTTGCTTTCTAGAGGTTTTTACTTGGAATTAGCTCCTGGAAATCCTAAAGATTGGTCACCCTCCCCCCTCAGTTTTAGTTTAAAGTCCTCCTGATAAGTTGAGCCAGTCATTTTCCAAAAACGTTCTTCCCAGTCTTTGTAAAGTACAGCCCTCCCTTGCCAGAAGGCCATCATGGAGATACTATAGACCATGGTCCAGGAATCCGAAGTTTTTTTGGTGACACCAACCCTTTAGCCAGTGGTTCACTTCTAGAATTCTTCGTTCTCTTACTGGATATTGTCCTTTCATTTGCAGTACAGTTGAAAAAAACTACTTGTGCACCTAAGTCCTTGACTTTTTGCCTAGCTGCTTGTCCAATATTGTTTTCAAGTCCTTTTTTGTGTCATTCGTCCCTACATGTAGTAGTAGAAAAGTGTAGTAATCTGTGGGCCTAATTATTTTGGTTAGGTTCTCAACCACATCCTTGATTTTTGCTCCAGGGAGACAACATACCTCCCTAGATTGTATGTCCGGTCTGCAGATGGCTGGACTGTTCCTTTGAGAATAGATTCTCCTATCCCCAACATTCGCCTTCCTTTTTTAGGGGGTGCAGTCTGGGGTGCTTTTCTGTTTATCCCAGGTGAGTTTGTTGAGGTGACTTTTTTAGGGATATTGGCTGATGTCTTTTTTTCTAAGTGTTTGCGTGTTTTCTTGGAGGGAGAGGTTGTGGGTCTGAGTATTTTCAACTAGGGGGAGAAATCCATTGCTCAGTTTTAATGGGGCTGCTTCTAATTGGGTTAGATTGGGCAGCAGAGTTTATTAGATATGTGTTGCTACTGTAGTCTCAAAGATAATTGGGTCCTAAATGATAAAGGGCTTGAAAGATTGTATCCAGCACAATTTGATTTGGCTGTCAATGCAACTCCTACATAGTAGTAACAGATCAATGTGGCAGAATTAAGTTTGGGTTATTGATAAATGGGCAACTGCATTCTACATCCAGAGAGTCTTCAAGCATCTGTAGAGCCCATTGCAGTATTTGAATCAAGTTTTAACAAGGATATGAGTGCCATGACTAGCATCTGTTCCAGGAAAGGCTATATCCATTGAAATGGAGCAAAGGACTTTTTAGCCATGGCCTCTCCACAAGCAATAGCCATTAATCCAGGATAATGTAAACTTGTCCTTTCAGAGGGAGCTTCCCGAAAGCAGCCAGCTTCTGAATTAATAGATACTCTACCTGTTTGCTTGATCCTAAGTTGATGTTACCTGTGCACGCTCTTAAAAGCCTCCAGGAATCGGTTCTTTCACCTAGGATAGTGACGTACCATTTACAGAAGAGGTTGAACAAAATGGGGAAAGGGCTGAGTTCTGGACCTCATATAGAGATGCATAGAGTTTTGTTCTTCATTCCCAACAAACAATGATTGGAATTAGGAAGGAAGGAGCAACATTATAAGACACTCTCCCTATTACAAACCCTTCCAGGTGATCCAGCAGGATGCAATAGCTGATACTATCAGATGCTGAAGTATCTAGAAGAACAAGGAGGAATACAGAATTCCCATAATGGCTCATTACAGCAGTGATCAGTGCAGGATCCATTATTCTTATTATTTTGTTCTAAATAATGCTATATAATAAAATCAACATTATTTAGAACAAAATTATCAGATGTGGAGTGGAATTATCCACTCCACATCTGAGCTTCCACCCCAACTAGGAAGCCATCCATTGTGGTTTAACTTTGCTTGAATCAAAATACTATCGATTGTATGACCACCCGTAACTTTAAAATCCTGCATTAAAGTTAGGTGTTAATTAGATTATTCTCAGATAGCATTTTGAATGTGAAAGACTCTTACAATAGATTTAACATGGTATGAGGGGGGGGGGTATTGTTGAAGAGGAAAGAACCAATATGCTAAAAATACATATGCATTTAAGTGCGCTATAAGTAATAAGATTGTTGATATTTTTGTGTCCTAGATGTAGAAAAGTTGACTAATTTCAACTAGTTAGTTGTGTTGTGTTGAATATTCTGATCTTCATTACCTTCCAAACTTTGAAAGAAATGAATGTTGATTTCCTTTACTCCCCAGGTCTGCCAAGGCTGCCACAATGCTATTGACCCTGAAGTTCAACGTGTGAGTTACAACAACTTCAACTGGCATGCTACCACAGAGTGCTTTCTGTGCTCTTGTTGCAGCAAGTGTCTGATTGGCCAGAAATTCATGCCGGTAGAAGGAATGGTTTTCTGCTCAGTGGAGTGCAAGAAAAAGATGATGTCCTAATGGGAAGGAAACCAAACTGGGAACCAATATTTGCCTTATTTCAGTGTCCTCTTCATGTCTACTGTATTGGGGGATTTTAAACAAAATCAAGTATTAAATGGCAGAATCCAAAGATTTTTATATTACTAACTTGATTGATTATGATTTAAATTCTTAGGCACTTCTCAGTGCTACTGGTTTCTTGTTGCAGGATGTTCCTCAAGATAGGGACTTCAATGTATTCATACACTTCAAAAATGTCCTATGGAGGGATATGGTACCTCAGACCATTAAATTGGACTGCATTTTCCTTTATGAGTAGTTGTTGAACATGAGAGCGAATCCTGATGAGAGTTGTGATAAGATATTGTAAAATCCCACAACATCTGGAAGACCATTGGCTTTGTACTCTTGTCTTATAATCCTCAGGTTTTTCTTCTATATTTGACATTATACAGATACTTCAGTAACAAAATATTGACTGGGTATGTTGTAAACCTTATGCCTTATACTGACATTTCCCAACCTTGCATTCAAAAGTGCTTTGTTAAAATTCCCACACTTGCTAATTAATAAAATATACCAATAGTGTCCCTATAGCGTGAGTCTTATGCTGAATTGTACTGTTTTAGACTCCATGAATATATGCACACATGAGCAGAGCACTTAGTACTCCAACTCCCTGCATGTGTCATTATAGCATAGCATAGGAATTAACACTTTTGATATTTTTATGTCAAGGAATTTTTAAAGGGCGACAAAACCATTCCAACAACTGAACCCTTTGCCTTTAGAGTATTATAGTAGAGTAAGGTATGCGATAGTGGCGTATATCTGAAGCTCATTTGTAGGATGTCAGTGGGCGTTTGTTCTTCGAGCTTGTGGGTTGGTTTCCAAACATTTTGTTAGCAGGCTAGGTAACTTCTTCAGGGGTTAGTTTTTGCATGGTGGTTGTCTGGGTGGTGCATTGTGGTTTGAGAGCTTGTGTGTCGGAGTACACAAATTTTTGGATAGCCATTGTGGAGAAAGGCTGAAGATGTTCTTAGCCTGGTAACGAAACATTTGGAATTATTTAAGCTTAGAATGTGAACCAGTAGGAGCCAGATGTAAATATGCAGTAGTCTTTTCATCCTTTTTTCTTTTTTTTTCAGGAGGTTGGATTTATTGTTGAATGTGGCCAGTTTGCCTTGGGCAATGTAAAACCTTTGATATTAGGGACCAAATTGCCTTTTGTTCCCCAGATTAATGATTTCATTTTTTGTAATGAACATATCAGAAAATCCACGATTTTGAAAATTATTATTATTGTGTATTAGCACAAGCTCTTTTTTATTTGCGTTTGTTTTACTGCAACGTTCTTAAAATATCAAGAGATCTGATTAATCCCTCTGAGTACTGAGCACATGGGCTTCACAATTTCAATGGACTTTTGAAAGTACAAAAAAAATTTGCTCTGTCATGCTTTGCAATAGCTCTTGGTTTGTTACTTCCCTTTATACTGTGTTGCTGAATCAAATTAGGTCAAAAACAGCCATTTGAAGGACCTTCATTCATGTAAAGTGTAAATTGCCTCTGAAGCTGGCATAGAGTTTGTTGGACATGCTGTAATTCCTAGATCCTTTTTTCTCTTCGGGTATGGTAAGGGATATTTTTTCAAATTCTTAAACAAATCCACTTGAACAAAGAAGGCTTCAAATTGCTAACGTATGCCCAGTCAAGAGTCCCATAGATAAGATATAGCAAGCATATCTCTGTCCTCCCCTCATATATTGTAGAATCTATCTAATCAAATATTAATTAAAATAATAGTATGCATAAATGGAAAGCTAGTCTTTTGCCAAACAAAGGACCAGCGCCCTACATACTTCGTTTCTAGAGATGGACTTGATCTGCAAATACAGGGTTTTGGGGGGGCATGTGCCTGTCTGCCAAGAACAAACCTTGGGAATTTTTAAGACATAAGCATTTCCAGGCCCAGAATTCCCAAGCCAGCATGGGGAATTCTGGGAGTGGAACTCCACACAACTTATATTTGCCAAGGCTTAGAAACCCTAACCTAAAATAAGCACATGCATGTATGTATGGTACACAATCACAGAAAGGAAGATTGCCAGGTTGTAGGGAGCATTTAAGGGGGTAGAAGAAAGAGTGGGGAATTAACCTTACCGGTTTGCATTCTAGTCAGTTATATCTTCATCATGGCAATTCTTTTGTATAAGAACGTGCTTTCTCAAGAATTTGAATTGGCAACAGCTGTGATATATTCTAAGATGTCCAAATCTGATACAGAAAAATCAAACCATCCTGAACTTTCACCAGAAATTGAAGTGAGTAAACCAAAAAGTTGCCACGTTTCTTATCTGCTCAACCAATGTCTCATTTGACATTCTTTTGAGCAGTGGAAGCTTAGTGATAACTTGGAATGTACTGAAAATGAACTTAATAGCTGAACATTTTTGCATTAAAATGTTTTGCATTTAAAAAAGTTTTGCATTAAAAAAAATTCAGGTTTAGTATCCTGGTAGGACTGATCAGTTCCTTTAGAGAAGCTGTCAATTTGTATAGGAAATATGACTCGGTTTGATCAATGGGCTGACTCAGAGCTTTGTACCAAGCTTTGGTTTTGTGTGATGTAATAAGTACCATAGCATGCTAAATGTAGGAAGATACACCAAAAGACTGTGGTGGGGAAAGAGATAGAAGTTGGATTTGTAAACTTATATAGCTCAGCTCTTCTGGTTAATAACTGTATGCATATAAGAAATGCTCACAAATAAAATATGTTGCCGCAATTAAATTTTCCTAGCTTTAGATTGTGTGTTTTATTTTCTGTCTTGGCCACTGTAATGAGCATGCTATTCCAGAAGAGGGTGATGTGTTCAAAAGTTAAAAAAAAGAGCTTGTTAAATAAGTTGAAATTTATATTTTACTTTGATGTTTTTAAAAAATCCCCTTTCCTTTTTCATAATTCTAGACTATTAACAATAGTTGCCTGAATAAGTCCTCCCACAGACTTATATCTGTTGAGTTTTATAATAACGATATTAAGCATAGTAGTTAATTAGTTGTAAATCAAATGTCTGCTTTAAATTCAGTGATTGTAGTATGCTCTGGATTATATACATATAATCCAAGCTTTGATTTCAGTCTGAGATTTCAGTTTGAGATTTAGTTTAAATAATTTTCATAGTTTATAATAGAAATTCACCACAATTTCTATAGCTAATTTCTTTTCACAGAATGAGAGAGAAAGTAGCAGGTATAACAGTCCCTTTATATGTATTAGCACTGCGAAGTTTAGCTGGATATCTTCAACAGTTTCACCAGAATACTTTTTGGTATTATTACCTTGCATCTCATAATGTGAAGACGGTTTTGCATATTAGCAAAAAAATATTAGCAAAAAAAAAATGTCTCTCATACCTTAAGGTATAGCATATGACAAAAATGAATGCTAATTTCTTTGTTGTATTTACTCTGCAATAAATCTATGTACAAAAACACAGATGTTTTTACAAATATGGATAATCAGAGGGTGTCTAAATCATTGTTTCTCAACCTTGGCAATTTTAAGATGCATGGACTTCAACTCTCAGAATTTCCCAGCCAGCAAATGCTCCCCTGCCAAGGTTGAAAAAGAATAGTCTAAATCAAGGCTGCAGAACCAGAATCTCTAGTGTAGTACCAAAGCATGGAATTCAAGTAAGCCTGTTGACTTCAACCTAATTTTATCCTTGCTTTTGTCCTGAATACATTTTTAGAGTCTAGCCCTCAAAGGCCAAACGTGAGTCCTACTCTTAAAATAGATGTATTCCTGGTCTAGATGCATTGATCTTACATCATTTATTTCTTGACTGAAACCCAAGCAAACTCAAGATGCTAAAATTAAAATGACGGCTAATCATAATAATGTAAAAATCCAAAAAGTACACTCCATTCATTGCTGATGGTTGCATGCACTGAACACCTTCCAGCGCAGCCAGGTATTTGGAAACTTTTAGAAAGCTATGAGCAAGGAGCCATCCTCACCTTTGGGAAATGGGGAGGAGCTGTTCTAAAGGAAGGCAGGAACTCTTGATTTTGTGAAAGGAGAGAACCTTCAGACAGGTGTTCTGCAGCTGTCCCCATTGGCCTGAAAGACTCCATCTAGGAAAGGTGGTCAATTAGTGTAGCTACACAAACCTTGAGCCTTTCATGGCTTTCTAAGAAGTGACCAGCAACTTAAAATGAACTATCAACCAATGTATCTCTCCCAGTCAGGGGCTTGTATATTTCTGGTCATTGGTGGATATATGCATAGGTTTACAAGTCAGAATTTAGCACAGGTCAGGTTTGGGTAGAAATCAACAGTTTCTCATCATTTATAGGTTTCAGAAAATAAATAGATCTTTGGCTTAGTAGTAAAACTGACTCGTTTCTTAGTTGCAACTTGGTCAAAAATGTCAAAGTAATACACGTGACTCTTATTTTAAAAAAAGGGATAAGATTTCAATCACGCAGTCACAGCTGCCATCTTTTCTGCCTCAACTCATCCTGCCCTGGCAAAATGCCCCCTGCTTGCTTTAATAATCTGTGATCTCCTCTCCAGCCAGTCTGACAAGATGTTTCTATCTTGCTTAATACAAATTGAGTCTTGCAAAAAGGATAAAGCAAGCGGTACGTACCTTGCAGGATGCTACTTATTTGTATTTGTACAAATTATGTTGTAAATCCAATCCTTTACTGAATTTTCGTTCACATTGCATTCCACTACTCAAAAGAGTTTTATCCCACTCACCACTTGTTTAATGCTCTAATTAATATAAACGTATGAGAAGTGATTTGCCAGAATTCTCATGAACTTAAGTATGATTTAAACCAGGCCTCCCCTAATGTGCATCTGAAATTCTAACCATCCTCGATAACTCAGTGTTTTTTTTGCAGAGCTTCATTTTTCTGAAGATTTTCTGATGTCACCACCATTTCTTTCTGAATTCCTTAATTGCACATCCGTTTCAAAAAGACCTAACATAATTAACATTTTCACTGAGGAAATATTTGTTATTTTATGATGTTTTTACTTTCAAACGTTGATAGGTTGTTAGAAAACTGTTTTCTGATCATTGTTGTTGTTTACACATTTACACATAGATATTAGATGTTCATTTCTCTGATTTCTTTTTGCCACACTATTTTTCTGAATCCCTTTCTTACTTTCAATCTTTTCAGGAATATTCTCCACTTTATACATTTCTTCATTTGTCAACATATGAATCAGTGGTGGGATTCTTTTTTCTTTTACTACCATTTCTGTGGGTGTGGCTTGGTGGGCGTGGCAGGGGAAGGATACTGTGATACCTCCAGTTAGAGGTGGGATTTGCCAGTTCTCTGAACTACTCCAAATTTCCACTACCAGTTCTGCAGAACTGGTCAGAACCTGCTGAACACCCACCTCTGATATGAATATCTATGTTCTGAGTATTATGAATATCTGAGTTATGATTTATATTATGCAATGTATGTGTTTGCATTTACGTGTTTCATACTTTGTCTTAACATAAAGAGGTAGGATGGGGGCAATATAATTATACAATTTTTGCTTAAATGATT